AGTAAAAAAGACCCAACCAGAAGAAGCAAAAAGAAAAAAGAAAATCCAAAAATATGAAGATAGAGTAAGGAGCTTCTGGGACAGCTTCAAGCGTACCAACATCAGAATTACAGGGTTGCCAGAAGAAGAGAGAAGGCAAGATATTGAAAACCTGTTTGAAGAAATAATGACAGAAAACTTCCCCTACCTGGTGAAAGAAATAGACTTCCAAGTCCAGGAAGCGCAGAGAACCCCAAGGAAAAGGAATCCAAAGAGGACCACGCCAAGACACATTGTTGCAGAAATATATTTAGAGCATGGTGCTATTTTATGTATTTATAGTGATGCCATTTTTAAAACAATTTTTAAATTTATCTTTATTGTTGAAAGTATTACAGATATCCCTTTTGTTTATTTTTTCTCATTGACCCCTTTCATACTATACCCACCCCTCCCAAGCCTTCAGCACTCTATTGTCTGTATCCACAAGCTATGATTATATGCATATGTTCCCTGGTTAATGACTCCCCACCTTCTCTCTGAAATTCTGTCTGTTCCATGCTTCTATGTCCCTGGATCTATTTTGTTCATCAGTTTATATTGTTCATTACATTCCACATGAGTGGGGTCATGTGATACTTATCTTTCTCTTACTGGCTTATTTCACTTAGCATAATGCTCTCCAGGACCCTCCATGCTGTTGCAAATGATAAGTTATATTTTTACAGGTATATAGTATTCCATTGTGTAAATGTACCACAGCTTTTTTATCCACTCATCTGCTGATGGGCACTTTGACTGTTTCTAAATCTTACTGTAAATTGCACTACTATGAACATAGGGGTGCATATATACTTTGATTGGTGTTTCTGGTTTCTCAGGCTATATTCTTAGAAGTGGGATCACTGAGTCAAATGAAAGTTCCATTTTTAATATTTTGAAGAAACTCCATACTGTTTTCCACAGAGGCTGCTCCAGTCTGCATTCCCACCAGCAGTGCACAAGGGTTCCCTTTTCTCCACATCCTCACCAGCACTTGTTGATGGTAGCCATTTTGACAGGTGTGAGGTGACATGTCATTGTCATTTTAATTTTCATCTCTGGGATGATTAATGCCTTTGATCATTTTTTATGTCGCTTGGCCATCTGTATGTCCATTTTGGACAACTGTCTATGTAGGTCCTTTGCCCATTTTTTTTTTATTGGATTGTCTCCTTTTGTTAAGTTATATGAGTTCCTTATATATAACTTTTTTTTTTAATGGAAAACTATATACAAAACTGTGAAAAGTAGTTTCCTCTGGGGTACTAGTTAGAACAGCAATTAATTCGTTTACATATTTTATGTTGTTTTAAATTCTTATATTACTTTTATGAAAAATATTCTGGATGGAAGGAAAACTTGATGAAATGCATGGTCAAATTCAAACCCCTGAAATAACCTGAAGAATATAGCTTTCCCCCCAGACACCAAGGAAAGCTTCCAGAAAGTGCAGAGAATTGGCTGGATTGAGAATCACAAACTTCATAAACTCATGCTTTGACTCTGGAAACAGATGACGTGAGATTTTGGCCCACTCCTGTCATCTGCAAGTAGCTACAGCCCAGGATCTACCCTGAATCACAAAGCAGGGCAGCCACTGCCCCGTGATGTGGAGACTGCTTTCTCAGGTGGACAGGGATGTATTCAGCTTCCTTACTTCCATCCACACCAGTTTTTCTATATTCACTTAGAAACAACTGGATGTACAGCATGAGACCAGGAGTGAAAAAAAAAACAAAAAAACAGGAATGATGTATTGCATCTGGGAATGTGCAGCTTCCTCAACTAAAGCAGTGTGATGGGGGGAGGGGGAACACAGGAAGAGCCTGCAAGCAGTGCATATTTCATGATCATATCGAGATAAGAAGCATCGACTGCCTCAGATCTTCTAAGACAGGCAGGCTCTTCCCCATAAGAACAACCCAGGAGTGTCCACAACAATGGACGCTGCAGAGACTGAAACTGAGTTCGAGGCTGTACACACACTGCTTCCTTCACTTTGTCATTTTAAAACAAACAGGAAGACTTCACCAGTATTCACAGGGACAACACAAGGGACAGGGCTCAAATCCGGGCACAATGAACTACCATCTAGTTGTTGCTCCAGGAACAGAATTCTATTACTCCAGGTTCTTGACTAGCATAAGGCACACAGCACCACTGGGTAAGTACTAGTGTCGATGGGACTTGTCTTGCTCAAAACTGAAGTTAAAAAATAAAAATAAGGATGACAATATAGGGTGTCCAGGAAAAAGAAAACAAAAGAGAAATAGCCCATCATCATGAAGCATCAGTTTCCCCTCCTCACTTCAGAGAAGCACAGGTTGACACTAAGCCTGGGGCACCGTTGGCCCCTTCTCTAGACCTGGTGCTTCCCGAAGGCAGAGAAAATGTCTCTCTCCCCTTTGCAGCCCAAGCTTACCAGCAACACTGAAACTTATCTGTTCAAAATCCTCAAGTAGTGAACAGTGTAACCTTTGGAGAGTACTGACTAGCATTTAATGATTGTATGAACTTAGACAAGTTGGCTGATCAATCGAACCTCCATTTCTTTATCAGGAAAATGGGTTGTTGTAAAACTCCAATACATGTTAAGTGCTTAGCACAGTACGTGGTTTGTAGACAGTCCTAAATATGTTATACTGATATACCTGCTTTGATTCTTTGCTTCAAATCATGCCTGAGTTCAAATAGGGCAAACAAACAAAAGAGCTGAATTACGTGCATTTATTCACGATTGAACTAGAAAAATCTGTATCTGTCTTTAGCAAATAATATACATAAATGTACACATATATACAGATATATAGAGTAGTTTCATAAAACTGAATACTCATGATTTTATCTTTTCAGTTGTTTTAACATTATTTAATGAGTTGAGCAGTCTGTATCCACCCCCCCCACACACCCCGCCCCTTCTGTGTTTTAAAGATATCCCAATTGTTGGAATTTATCACATCTAAGAATTCCTGACAGTAATGATTGTGCTCATTATTCTTAGTAGCATACATGCATACATTGGCAGTTCACATAATACATGGTTAGTTTTAACTTTAAAGAAGGGATAGGTAAACACAGTAAAAAAAAAAAAAAAAGTACACCACATTCCCAGCACCCAGATACACTAAAGGTGAATCTGAACCACTTTCTAAAGTAGGGATGAAATAGAATGACTTCTAATATCATATACAGAAATAAGCAATCAAAGCATATCATTCTGGTCTAAAAAATGAATTTATCCTAAATTGGTCAATATCAGCACCCAAAGAAAACAATTCTACCACTTTCACTTAAAGTAAACCCCTCTTTAAAGTACACTGTGGCTCATTTGAAGAAGCATTTTTTTTGAGGGGTATTGGTTTAAGCAGATCCCTTTGTACAAAACTAAAGCAAAGCAGAACCACTATCCACTACATCCTTGAACTCAGTCAAAGCTCAGACTTAAGGCCAGGGTCTCTTCTAATCCCATAACCATGCTAAACACACTGCTGACCTAAAGACCTAGGCAAGGAAAGCAGCTCAACCAGGGACAGGGGATGGCAGAGAAATCAGTGGCAAAACCAACGGGAAAGTGACTTTAATGCAGGAACAAACAGCTTCTCTGAAAGGTCTACGAAGAGTAAGCGAAAGTCTTTATTTATTCATTGTCTCTCTTTCTTTTATAACCTGAGCAGCCATCATACTGGATATTTCTGAGTAACAGGAACATTTTCAACTTACAAGGTGTTAAGATAACACAATGTCTATTTTTTTAAATTAAATAGTGGTTACAATGGAAAATAAACTACTGAGCTAAAGCTTTTACATGTTGATAGCAATCTCATAGAAAATAATAATGTTTTTAAAATTACAATATTTTACATATGCCAGGTTGAATGTCAATATTAGATAACATCATCTGCAACTGTGGTGTCAAAAATCTGATAGCAAATTTGCTGCTCCGTTCCACTTGTGACATTATACGATTTGATGAAGCATTCCAACCACGGATATGTATCTACAAATCCAAAAGAAAATGTTACTTACCCATTAAAATTAAACAAATAACTCTGGCATACCTAAGCCTAATGCTTAGCTAGAAAAATTAACATACTTAATTTGAAGATAGAAAAGTAAATAAATATACTTATCAAATGTAATGCTATCTACTCTTCCAAATTGCACACTGGATTCATGTTATTATTTTACGGTGATTCTGACTAATTTGAACTTTTTTCTAACAACAGGAAAAAGTAATGTGGGATTTTCAGGATGTTTGATAGTGAATGTTATAAACTACCTCATTCTGAATTTTTATTCCTTTCTTTCCTGCTAATTTCTTACTAATCTCCAGTTTTTTTTATTTATTTATTTATTTATCTATCTATCTATCATCTATCTATCTATCTATCTATCTATCTATCTATCCTCTTGGTTGATTGCAAAGAAAAGAAATGGATTGATCCTGAATTTCTGGAATCATTTGAACACCTTACATTTATCAAGGTAAAACTACATGTACCAAGTACCGATTCAAGGCAAAGCTGGCAGCCATCGATGCCATTTCTAAGCTTTGGTTATGACCACAGTAAGTGTATTTATAACATCTAGAAAAGATTCTGATGGTTTCTTCAAATTTGAATTTAAAAGAAATTTAATCTAGTCCTCAATATTGGCAAGTGTCAAGAAGGACAGGAACTATAAATAGGTAAAATATTATTGAAAAGCAATTTTGAAGTTATGTATCAAAAGTCTACCTGACCTGTGCTTTTTGATATGACAGTTTTATTTCCAGAAATCTATCCAAAAGAATCTAAATAACCAACAAAAATTAAAACTGCCACCAAATAAAAGCATGTAAGTTAAACTTTGTTACAAATGTATAAAAAACTATCTTTGTAGAATTGCTATAAAATGTATAGACTGACCAGGGTAAAATAAAGCCTGATTAAAAATAACCTATAAGCCCAGCCAGTGTGGCTCAGGGGTTGAGTGCTGAATCAGGAGTCATGGTTTGGTTCCTACTGAGGGCATGTGCCTGGGTTGTGGGCTCAATCCCCAATAGGGGCTGTGCAGGAGGCAGCTGATCAATGATTATCTCTCATCATTGATGTTTCTATCATTCTCTCCCTTTCCCTTCCTCTCTGAAATCAATAAACATATATATTTTTTAAAAAGCTATACAAGTTAAATGAACAGTTAAATCTATAGCTGGTAAAATTTGTTACTGATGGAAAATTATTAGAAGGGTCAAACTGTCTTAATATGATTTAGATCTGCAAGTTTCGATGTAAATACAGATACTGGCCACAAAAGAAATACTGAGTAGCTTTCGGTATAGTAATCTATACCATTTGACCTGAAGATTTGGTTGATGAATCAAATGTTAAATCAAAAGCAACTAAAGCTGCTAAAAATAATTAGTAAAATAAAAAACTGTAAAATCTGAAAATAGTTAATACTGAATAGAAAATTCATCAATTAATTAAACTGGCTAAATGGAGTTTGTTACAGAAAATGTTTCTTATAAAAGTTTCCTCCCTGTTAATATAATTTCAAATAAAATATTTGTATGTATAAACAGAGTGTCAAATTTCCTTTGATCAAAACTGCCTCCCCTTTATTGTATTTCAAAATATTTAAAAAACCTTTTCATTTCAGGAACTATGATTCATTATCTATTTTTTTAAAAATATATTTTATTGATTTTTTACAGAGAGAAAGGGAGAGGGATAGAGTTAGAAACATTGATGAGAGAGAAACATTGATCAGCTGCCTCCTGCACACCCCCTACTGGGAATGTGCCTGCAACCAAGGTACAAGACCTTGACCGAATCGAACCTGGACCCTTCAGTCCGCAGGTGGACTCTCTATCCACTGAGCCAAATCGGTCAGGGTGATTCATACCTATTTTATACCTGCCACCGTCTTCATCAAAAGGTAGATCATACAGTCATCAAGCACTACTTAGTAATTTATTTGGATTCACATTTCAAAGTTTGCATACCTCTAAAAGTTCATAATTTAGATATATGCTGGTGCTATTTTTTTTAAAAAAGAATGAATGGCAAATACTATGGCTTACCAATTTTTTTTCCTGGAGGGCAAAGCATATTCATGATCATATCCATACTTTCCTGAAGGTAATCATTGGTTAGGATTTCTGATGCTGGAATATGGAAGAATTTGTCCTTAAAAATTATAGAAGAAAAAGGAAATGATATTAATCTTTAATTTATGTTATAATTAATATAAAAGGGGAGGGCAAAGGTAGGTTTAAATTTGTACTGACATTCTTTTGAGTTAATAAAGCTATTGTAATAATCATAATCCTGCATACCTTTTTGCATAGGAACTGTAAACCTACTTTTGCCCACCCCTGTATTTTAATACTATCTAATTAAAATAATCTAGACCAGCGGTTTTCAACCTGTGGGTTGCGACCCCTTTGGGGGTTGAACGAACCTTTCACAGGGATTGCCTAAGACCATCGGAAAACACATATACAATTACATATTGTTTACAGTAGCAAAATTACAGTTATGAAGTAACAACGAAAATAATTTTATGGTTGGGGGTCACCACAACATGAGGAACTATATTAAAGGGTCGCGGCATTAGGAAGGTTGAGAACCACTGATCTAGACTAAGTCACTCTATCAAAATTCCAGAATTCATAAATGACAGTGCTAGTCTGAACTCTAAAATCTGATTTACTTTAATAACAGATTTGAGATATACAATTGAGTTAAATGGCTCTGACTTAATAATAATCAGAAAACAGGGAGGCTTACTATTCGCTTCATTAACACATATATTGAGTGCCTACAATGTGTAAATATTAAGTTTAAGAGTAAAACATATTTATTTAATTTTTTCCTCTTCTACTAGAATGTGAAGAGGAAAGGGATTTTGCTTGCCTTCCTCACTGCTATGTCTTTACCACAAAAAATAGTACCTGGCACATAGAAGATGCTCATTAAACATTCAGTTAATAAATGGATACATGAATTGTTTAGGCAGGAGAAAATTCTCAACCTTACCCGATTCTTTCAATGTGTGTAATAAAAAAATGTTACCAGCCTCTCCCTTGGCTTCTGGGAGGTAATCTGTAAACCCGTGGATGTCATGCCTGCTGGGAGTGCCCTTGTTTGCCTGGGGACACTGGATAGTCTAACAATGAGAGTTTGTGTCATGTAGTATTAGCTTGACCACTGTGGGGTCTGGAGACTGAGATCAGTCATGTGTACATTCAACCATGACTACGTGACAGGACTCCAGCAAAAGCTCTGGACACTAAGGCCCAGTGGAGCTTCTCTGGTTGGCAATACTCCATAGGTACCCTTACACGTTGTTGCGAGAAAGTCACTCTGTCTGCTTTCTTCTACAACACGAAAGAGGGCAAATGAAAGTTCCACATTTGAAACTTCCTTGGATTCTGACCTATGCACCTCTTTCCTTGGATGATTTTAATCTGCATTTTTTTTAGTTGTAATAAACTATAATGGTGAATAAAACTAATAAGCAAAATAAAGAGACTCAAAGATAGCATGGGGTGGGGGTGGGAGTGCGGCTGGGTATGGAGTGTGGAGAGATTGAGCAAAAAAGAAAAAAAAAGGTGGATAAGGGAAAAAAATAGCTTTCAGTCAATTCTGTGGGTCTTTTCTAGTGAATTGTCAAAACTAATGGTGGTCTTGGGGACCTCTAACCTGCGTCGGAGGCTGGTCTTGGAAATCCCCAAACTTGGAACTGCTGCTGGGAAGGAGGGTGGTCTTGTGGAAAGCTCCCTAGCTTCACCCACGTCACTATCTCCCTACCAACGCAATTGTGTTCCCTCTAATAGGAAATGAGGAGGCTTTAGAAGCCTAGTGAAATGCTGATGGTTAATGCTTAGAGGGCATGTTTATACAATGCCTTTGACTCCTGGAACAGATTTCTGGGTGGTATAAAAAATAACTCTCCTAAAATTCCTATTCCTCAATTTTTCATTATTTGGACATTAAGATTTATAGTGTAATATCAAAAGAGAGAGAAACACATAGACAATTTAAGATCTATGCACTATTTTTTTCTACATTGCCTTAAATCTTGTTAGTAATAAAGCAGGTATGAATAAATATATTAAAATTCAAAAAAATATTATTTTTAGTTAGAAATATCTTCACCACCTGTTACTTACAGAATCCATGAGGTAAGCTTCCAATACTCCTGTCCCATCATCAAGAGTGAATGTCATCACAAACACATGTTGAAGGGGTACAATACCCAATACTAGTGAAGGGAAAAATAGATTACATGATATGAATTTGCTTTCGGATAGTATGTACCTGTTAATTTTGTTCACTAAAATAATTTAAAAGAGAAAGAAAAACATATATATACTATATCTTTTTGTTCTCCAACATATCTTTTTGTAATACCAACATACTAAGTTCATTTTAGCAGGTTCATTTTGGAACATTACAATATACCTATATAGAGGCAATGGCTTATAAACAACTGTATCTTTTTGATTAAATATTAATATATCTTTAAAATGAGTTGATCTTGATAGAAAATATAAAAACGGATTAATAAAATATAATTTATTACATGTTAACCTTATGAAAGACAAAAATAAAATACGAGAATGCTCTGAAAAATAGCATGCAGTTCAATATTTATGATTATGTAACATGTCTCTCCCCTCTGTACTATAGGCATAGGGATCACTTATGTTTTAAGAGACATCATCAGGTGAATGGACAAAAATATCAGAATCTGAGATTTAATAATTTAGTAAGATGAAGAAAAAGGAAGAAATTAATGAGATAATAAATCATATGAAAATTTACAAGTTAAATGCACATCTTTGTGTTTGGAAATGGGAGACATTCAGTATGTTTACAGAATGGAATAAATAGAATTAATTAGGGGCAACTAAGAAGAACAAATTAGGGCACACAGTTGTGACAGTGATTGTTAAAACAGAGAATTGACTTTTAGGATTTAAGGGGTCTCAATAGGTTAACACTGTGAGCTAAAACCAAGAAATATGAACACAAAACCTACTTTGAGGGACCATACAAACAAACAGACAACTGCGTTAAGAATAGGATAGGAAGACCATGCTGTCTGGACAGAAGTTCATGTGAAAGTAACCTGGAATTTCACTGGACCACAAACAAAATAAGAGATTCCAGTATCATACAGCTGAATTAAAAGAAAAGGAAAACAAAACCAAGTATACAAATATAAAAAACAAATTAATATAAAAATTAATATCAACACAGTAAGTTCTTAGCAACATTATCAACAGGTTCTTGGAACTATGGCAAAACAACATATAACAAAACCAATTTTACTAGAGGCTAATTGATATAAACAAGAGTTAAGTTCCTAAGGCATCTCCTCAATGTTACAAGGAAATGACAATGAACAAAACGATGTTATTCAAGAACCTGCTGTACAATGAAATTTTCCAGCCAGTAGAGAAGCAAAGTGTCCAATTTAAGGGAAATACAAGTTTTGTTTTTTATTCTGAATTGGCCAGTATCTGCAGCCCTATTTTCAGCTTTGAATGGTAAACTTGGAGGAGAGCATTGGCAAAGTGAAATGTTTACTGAGGAGGAGAAATAAAATACAAAGGAAAGTGGGAAAGTACCAAAGGAAGTGAGATGCTTGCTTGGAGAAATAGACTAAATGAAGGCTCAATAGATATTTTCAAATGTACAAAGTCTGTTGCTCTTTGGAAGAAGGAATAGGTATCCTCTAATTCTAGTAAATAGAATGTGGCCCAGGTTAAAGTCATAGGTAGGCACATTTTGCTTCACTATCAAAAACTGCCTAAAAATTAAGGGAATATGTTGCCTTGCAGTGTAATGAGTGCCCTGTCACTGAAAGAGTTTTAAGCCAAGGCTAGGCAACCATAATTAAACATGTGAAATAAAAAGATAATTGTTCCAGCTAAGGACTTGTATTGGGCAAAAAGTTGTAATAGCTATCTCGAAAACTCTTTTAAATTCAAGGTACTGCTCTAACCGGTTTGGCTCAGTGGATAGAGTGTCGGCCTGGGGACTGAAGAGTCCCAGGTTTGATTCCGGTCAAGGGCAGGTACCTTGGTTGCGGGCACATCCCCAGTGCGGGTGTGCATGAGGCAGCTGATCGATGTTCCTCTCTCATCGATGCTTCTAACTCTCTATCCCTCTCCCTTCTTCTCTGTAAAAAAATCAATAAAATATATTTTAAAAAATTCAAGGTACTATGAGCTGGAGAGATTTTTCAGAAGCTGTATTTGTGATTAATGATTAATACTAAAACAAATTACTGAACATTAAAATAAGAGTAAAAATTAAAAGATAATGGCAGATGCTTGAAAGTTAAGTTTCCAAATATTTTAAGCATTTACTTTATACTTTTATTACAATCACTTTGCTCTGGTTTTACTATATCCACAAGTACTGAAATATGATCAGTGAGATCACCTGACACAAAGACAGTAAAAGTTGAAGGACAAAGAAATTTAGCTAACCTTCTGCCACAGAAGAGGGAATCCATGATGTTTTATCATCCAGATTATTTAGATTTTGTATTGGTCTCAAACTAGAACACGTTTTACATCTGAAATTAATAAAACAAAAACAAACATTTTAAAATAACTTATATTACTTATTATAACTCATTTAATATTATAACTTACTTTTGCTATTCGACTATGCACATTTTAAAAAACAAATTAAAAAAATAGTATTGTCGCTCCTATATTGTGCATATTGCAATCAGAATTATTTTAATAGGCTTTTAACAGAAGCAATCAAAAAGAAAGTATAGTTCAGAATAAACCAATACATTGAGAATAAGAGAGAGGTTTCAAGTCCAGATTATTAATTAATTTGGCTAATTGCCTTATTTGGTAAAACAAAAATGTTTAAACAATCTTTACAAACTTTCATTTTATGGCTCTGTGAACAATAAATAATAGCCAAGGTCTTAATATGAGCAAAATATTGTGACTACAGAAGGCTGTATTAGCAACATTTGGGTATTATATTCAGTAAGTACATATTTAGAGGTTTATAGTTTGTGATGCCTAATACTATAGTTATTCTTCATAATATAAATCAATTTAAACCTATATAATATTCTAAAATTATACATTATTTAGTATAGGTATTTTGATTAACTTATATACAATATATTTAAAGTGACTTTTTAAACATAACATACTTTTTAGATGATAAAATATGTATTTAAATGAAAACATAAAACTCAATATTCAAGAGGTTCATGCAGACTCCTTTTTATTTGCAAGCTGGGGGAAAATGGAGGGTTAACTATAACAAGTATTATCACCTCCCACCCTTCAAACAAATCTGTTTTATGTGTGTGTTTTTTTAACAGAAAAAGGCAATTGAAAGAAATATTATTGCCTTAAAAATGGCAATATTAACTTTAGACATTGATAAAGCAAGTATACAAATAAATTAGCATGCAAAGGAAAAATTAAGGGTAACAAACAAAAATTAAATACAGAATTCATTACTTCTAACATAGTGAAAGAGAAAAAAGGAGAAAATTAAGAACATTTTTTATAAATCAATTCCAAAGAATACTGAAGAAAAATAAGTAAAATAATAACAAAAATAAGAGAACAGTAATAGTATAGGTGAAAAACAACATAAAGTGTAGAAGACCTAATTAAATAAAAAACTAACATTTTAAAATCATCTATTTAAAAATAACTAAAATTTACTTGTAACTATTTATTCATGAGACCTACTAAAGGATAACAACAAAGGAACGTGAAAGCAGAGAGGGAATAAGACACTAAGCAATTCCGAACTGAAAAAAATCCGGATACAATAATAAAAATATAATAAAACCCCCAAACTTTAGGGCAATCATGACTTATTGCCCTAAGGTTTGGGGGTTTTATTATATTTTTATTATTGTACTAGTGGCCCGGTGCACAAAATTCGTGCACATTAAAAGGGAATTAATTAGAGGAAATATTTTAATATTGCTATTTGCCCTTTTTCTATAATAGAAGTGTGAGAGATGAAAGCAAATTAGTAAAATGTATGTGAAAATCTTCCTCCTGTCAGAGTCTGGGGCACACCACGGGACCCAGAGTCAAGTACTTGCCCACCTGCATGCACCTCAAAATTGCGCGAGTCCCAGACCCAGCCAGCCCAAACAGGTCAAGCCCCGCTGGGTGGGAGGCGCAGCCTCAAGGCCCCCGTCAAGCCCTGCTGGACAGGGGGCGCAGCCTCAGGTCCCCGAGCCTGGTGCCAGGCAGGGGGCGGGGTCTGAGGTCCCCCTTCAAGTCCTGCCAACTGGGGGGGCACAGCCTCAGGTCCCCTAGCCTGGTGCCGGGCGGGGAGTGCGGCCTGAGGTCCCCTGTCAAGCCCCACCAAGTGGGGTGCGCAGCCTCAGGTCCCTGCTGATCGCTCATTATGGCTCATTACAGGAACCCAGCCTCCACTGTGGGTGCAGCCATCTTGTGTTACGTGAACCCTGCTTCTGCTGTGGGCACAGCCATCTTTGTGATGGTGTGATGGTCAATTTGCATATTACTTCTTTATTATATAGGATCAGGATATACCAAACAATGAATTCACCAGAAGTTTAAACACTGAACCTGAATGAACCAGGAAGGTCTCAAATACCTAAAGCACACATTGACAGAATAAAAGGTCACAAACCCACAATCACAGCGTATGTTAAGCACACTCTCTAAGAAGTGATTAAACAGATAAAATTACAATGGAAAAATAACACAGTTTTGAATATGATTAGCAAGTCTGTCTAGTGAACATGAGTAAACACTAAACACAACAATTAAAGAATACAAATTCTTTAAAAGTCTATGTAATATATTCTAAATCTGAATGGACATATACTAGGGTAACGCAAAGCTAAACAAATCTTAAAAAAATCATGAAATGCATCATACTATTTGGTTAAAAAGTCATCTAACCAAAATACAAACAAAAACAAGGCACCTGAAATGTGTGTGTTAAAATTTTTTAAAGAATTCATGGGCCAAAAATATCATAATGGGAATTATGAAACATTTAGCAGTGACAAGAAAAACACTACTTATGAATCTTGGGTTAAAGCAATGGCTATTATTTTTCTAGGAGAAAATTACAGACTTAAATATAAATATTAAAAAATACATTAGAATTAATGAATTGAGGTAACTGTTCAATTAAAAGCATTTGAAAAAAACAAGGAAACCTAATGAAAGGAAGAAAATAAAGAAAAGAATAATAAAAAATAATAGAGAGCAACAACAAAAACAAGAGCTTGTTCTTTTGGCAAGAAAGGCCAAGAAAAAAAAAGGTGCAAATAATATGAAATGAATTAAAGAATGGGCAAAGTGGATATTTAAAAATTATCAGAAAGTACTATGAACAATTGCACGTCAATAAATTTATACTTTAAAAATAAATGAATACTTCTCTAGAAAACTTTTATTAATAAAATAGATTCATTAAGAAACAGAAATCCTTAAAAGATGTGTAACTGTTGAAGAAACTCAAGCATTAGTTTAAATTCTTTGAAAACGCATTGGATCCAGAAATCAAAGTAAAAATTTATAAAGCCATTAAGGTTTTGACAACCATTTTGGTAAACATGACTATATTTATATTTTAAAAATTTGTAAAACAAAAGAAACCAGAGCTTAAAAGGTACAAGACAGACTAGAAGTTTCTTGAAGTAATTAACTGACAAAAGATTAGTATCTCTTACATAAAAATAATTCTAAAATCAGTTAAACACACAACCAAAACAGAGACTAGTAACTCAAAAGGAAAACAGGTAAAAGATGTAAATATGGAATTCAAAGAATAGAAAACTGAATAGCCAGTAAAAATGAGGGCTGTTTACACTCACTAGTCACCTAGGAAATCCAAATAATAATAACATAGATAAGTAACATTTGATGCTCATCAGTATAACAAAATATCAAGTTAGACCAACACTAAGTGTTAGAGAAAACCTGGGAGAAAGTGAACGTTTTACACACCACTGAGAGGACCATAAAATTTTACTATTATTCAAAGAACAATCTGGTACCTTCTACTAAAGCAGAAAATATGCATACTACTAATTCCAATTCTAGTTAAATTTTCTGGCAAGAACTACAGTAGGAAATTTATTTCATATCATGACGCAGAATACAACATACATGCACAATTGAAACAAAGGTTTAGAAAACAATACTGAATCTTACTATATAAAAAAGGTCTTTGTTATCTTTCTGACTTACTCCATTTTATACCAGACCACACCATACCATTATACCACATCATGTCATTTACAAAAGAAATGCTGACCATCAACAAATGACAAGTGCTGGCGAGGACAGGGAGTAAAGGGAACCCTAGTACACTGTTGGTGGGACTGCAGACTGGTGCAGCCATTATGGAAAACAGTATGGAGTTTCCTCAAAAAATTAAACATGGAACTATCATTTGACCCAGTGATCCCATTTCTAGGAATATATACTAAGAAATTCGAAATAGCAATCAGAAAGAATGTATGCACCCTTATGTTTATAGCAGGGCAATTTACAATAGATAAGATCTGGAAACAGCCCAAGTGCCCATCAGTAGACAAGTGGATAAAAAAAGCTTTGGTACCTTTACACCATGGAATACTATGCAGCAGTAAAAAGAAGGATCTCTGGCCCTTTGAAATAGCATGGAGGGACCTGTAGAGTATTATGCTAAGCGAAATCAGCCAGTCAGAGAAAGATAAGTATCAGATGATCTCACTCATATGTGGAATTTAATGAACAAAATAGATCCAGAGACAAAGAAGCATGGAACAGACTGCCAAATCTCAGTGAGAAGGTGGAGCTTAGGTGGGTGGTTGGGAAGAGATTAACCAAAGAATTTGTATGCACATAGGCATAACCCATGGACACAGACAATAGGGTTGTGAAGGCCTGGGGAAGGGGGTGAGGCAGGCTAGAAGGGGTCAATGGGGGGAAAAAAGGGGAACATATGTAATACAGTGGGGCCTTGACTTACAAGTTTAATTCGTTCTGTGATGGAGCTCGTAACTCAAATTACTCGTATGTCAAATCAAAAAGTGAATGAGTGAGACACGTGATGTTGGGCTGATGTTGTGGCGTTCACTGTGACATTTGCTGCACCAACTAGCGGTGGGGTATCTGAAGCTGGCTCATAACCTGAATTTTAACTCGCAACTCAAAGCAAAAAATCGGCCGAGAGACAGCTCGTATCTCGAGAAACTCGTTAGTCGGGACACTCGTAAGTCAAAGCCCCACTGTACTTTCAACTATAAAGATTTTTAAAAAAAGAAATGTTGGGCATGATCCAACTGATACTATGACAAAGGAAATATGCAAAAAATATATAAAAGAACTTCACTTAACATTTCTGTAAATGTAATACATGATAATAACATATACCTATTAATAGGAAATGGATTAATAAACCATAATATATCCCATATGAAATAAATTACCACATAGATATTAAAATAATACTAAATCTACATGCATCTATATGGATAAATCTTTCAATATTGAATGGGGGAAAAAAACAAGTTGCAAAAGGACAGGTATAGTATGAAACAATTTACATGAATTTTAAAAGCAAAATAATATGCTTATTTCTTACATGTTCACACATATATTACACTAAGAGAATAAAAACATTGCTGAGAAGAACTGACTCCCAAGTTTGGGAAAGTAGTTACTTCTGATAAGGAAAGGGAAGGAGAAGACCTAAAAAATAAGTTAAGGCATTTAGATTTCTAAGTGGAGGATACATAACTGTTTATGAAATAATTCTTGATATTTTTCTGTAGTTAAAATTATTTTCTCAAAATTAAAAAGTCAATAAGAAGATATATTGGCTTTGGCTGATATCAAAGTAATGTAAAGTCTAAAAATGTCTTAAAAGTTGGAATTTGAGCATAATTTCCCAGTTTATGCTGAAAATGGGAGAATATTGAAAGCCTTAACAGCACCTTTTATTTTAGAGCTAGAGGCCCGGTGCACAAAAATTTGTGCACTCGGGGGGTCCCTCAGCCCAGCCTGTGCCCTCTCGCAGTCTGGGACCCCTCGGGGGATGTCCATCTGCTGGCTTAGGCCCGCTCCCTGGGGGAATGGGCCTAAGCTGGCAGTCAGACATCCCTCTGGCAGCCCAGGAGCAGGCCTAAGCTGCAGTCAGACATCCTTAGCACTGCTGAGGAGGCAGGAGAGGCTCCTACCCCCATGCTGTGCTGGCAGCCGTCAGCCTGGCTTGTGGCTGAAAAGAGCTCCCCTGTGGGAGTGCATTAACCACAAGGGGCAGCTTCTGCATTGAGCGTCTGCCCTCTGGTGGTCAGTGTGTGTCATAGTGACCAGTCATTCCCATATCTGGGGTTTGTTTAGCTTCTATAACTGAAACGTAGTTGCTTTCGGAGCTCAGTGCCGGCCGTGGCAGGAGGGGAACCTTGGCTTCCTCCATCGCCGGGGCAACCAAGCCTCATGTTCGCTTCAGCTGCGTGGCTGCCAGCCGCCATCTTGGTTGGCAGTTAATTTGCATATCACCCTGATTAGCCAATGGGCAGCATATCGGAGGTACGGTTAATTACCCTATTTGTCTTTTATTAGATAGGATAGGATTCTAGTAAGTGAAGGATAGTCCAAAGCTTAATAACTAATATTGTTTTTTCTGGTTCAAGACTGGCCAAAGTGACTGATACTAGGAAGTATATTGGAAGAGAGGAAGAGGAGAGAAAGTGCAAACAAATGAGGATGGGCATGTAAAAAAGAGAAGGCCCATGTTAGTGACTTATTAAAAAGGAACAAACAGCCCTAGCTGGTTTGGCTCAGTGAATAGAGCATCGACCCAGGTTCAATTCTGGTCAAGGGCACATGCCCAAGTTGCAGGCTTGATCCCCAGTAGGGGACATGCAGCCAATCAATGATTCTCTCTCATCGATGATGTTTCTATCTCTCCCTTTTCCTTCCTCTCTGAAATCAATACAAATATATTTATTAAAAAAAGAAACAATATATTTGACAAACTTTATTTATTATTATGTTTTAAATCCTTACCCAAGGACATGCTTAGAAAGTGGGAGAAAGAGGAAGAGAGAGAGAGAGAGGAAAAGAGGGAGAGGGAGAAACATCAATGTGAGAGAGAAACATCAATCCGTTGCCTTCTGCACGTGCACCGGCAACCTTTTGGTGGTGCACAGAACAATGCTCAACCAGCCACTCTGGCTGGGCAATAAAGTTTTAGTTTTGAACTAATTGCTGGATAAATTTTGATGAGCTTGACTCTGAAGTCATGAGTTCAATGAGATATAATTAAAAACACAGGGCACATCAGAGTTAAAGCTACAACCCAGGGCTTTAACTCAGTGGCACACTAGTTTCAACTTATACCTAAAGTTTGATATTTTGTATATGGAACAGAACCCTGGGCAATCTCCACATGCCTACCAATGACTTCAACAGTCACAATCATAGTGATAACGTGATTGCAGGATGCAGTTTTCAGATGAAATCAAGATTTTCATATTATACCAATGAACAACAGCTACAAATATAGGAGCATGCAAGGGGGAGGGCTGGTATAGGATGTATTCTATAATTCAAGGTTTCTCAAAGCAGAGCACTTCAAGACGATTGTTTCATCAAGTGAAGGAAAGGAGATGTTATCCCCACTACTTCCTTCCAAAGGTAAAAATCTATTTCTAGTTCCTAATGTACTCTGATATGTTCCAATTACTCAGTGGCAACTAATCTGTAACTTTGTGCCACAGAAATTCTGGAATTCAATCACTTAACATTGACGAGGCTGCAGCTCTGAACCTTTCTCTGTAAGTAGTTAAATCCTTGTGAAAGCAAACAAATGGTAATTACTCTCTGGGTAGCTATACATCTAGCACATTGTAGGCACTCAATATATATGCTATCAAAACAGTAAATATATATGAAAAATCTAGTACATATAAATTGGTACTCAATAAGTATCCACCGACTATACAGAAACAAGTGGGTAAAATAATAACAGTAAAAATTACTCTTATTTTTAATTTATAAAGTTCCCAGAACTAAAAACATACCCGTAGTGATGTATTTTTCCTTGGATAAGGAATGGTACTGAAAGGTCAAGCAGTTCCAGGTCTTCATGGCCAGATTTCACAGGGATTACACTATGAAACTTGTCTGCCAGTTTGTAGATTTCACTAAGTGTACCTCCTATTAAGAGAATAAAAAAACCCTTCAAGTAGCACAAATATAATGTAGGCAAAATGTAAGGTATAATAAAAGAGAAAAAGACAAAGCCATGAATTTAGAGATTTAATACATTTATACATTCATTCTGAAAAATGTTTTGTAAACAGGTTCCTGCACAGAAACCACTGAACAGAAAATGCTGAGACTTGAGCAAAATACAAGGCTTGTGAAATTTTAATCATCTGCTTAAATGTATACAAGTTGCTCCTATGCCAGGAACACTTGGTTTCAAAGAATCAAAAGAATAAAATTAAAAGCCAAAGTACACAGGATTCTCATTACTAAATTTTCTATTACTACTAATGTCTGGCAAGTTCAATCCTGAGTTTGAGATAACTCTTTTAACTTTCAGGTCAACATTAAGTACAGATGCATAGTCCATGTAATGTGAATTCATGTACTATTATAGTGTTGGTTCATTTTTCCTGGAAAACCATCTCAATTACCTCAATTCTATGACAGGGTGAGCATTAAAACCATCACGCTGGCTGAGAAGAAACAGTATGCCCAATGGTGCACCATTATTACAAGGCAGTATTTTCGGGGGAAAACCCACACCTCTTGGTACCTTTTCTGGTGTACTTTTTACTTAGATTGATAATTGTTCCTCTTTAGGGAAAAAGAATATGATTTATAAAAATACTTTGGTGTATTTCCTAAAATCTGTATAAAATTTGGAACATTAAAATTCAGTTGTGATGGGAAGCATTTCTAGCATAGCCGACTAAGGATGTCCAAAAATACACTTCTCCATAAAGACAAAATGAACACTGGCAAAACTGTCAAATGCAATTCTTCCAGAGCTCTAGAAATTAATGCAAAGCTCGCAACAATGCAAGGATAAACTTTCTCCCTATCCCCCTGTCTGCAGCTCCATGGGAGCTGGAAACCACAGCTCTGCCAGGTCACACTGCAGTTAAGTCCTAGCCTTGGGGTAGGCAGGGTTACAATACTCAGAAACACAATAAAATAAAAACATTATATTTTGATGAAACCCTTTCATATTTTAAAGTGCTTTCAACATACACTTTAAATCTTTGTAAGGTAAAGTGTTATTGCTTTGAATTACTTATTTATTTAATAAATATTTACTGAGAGCCAGTTATATGCCAGGCATTCTATGCCAGGTGCTGAAGGTACATAGATTAAAATAAACATGTATCCTGTCCTTAGGGAGCTTACATTCTAATAAGAAAAAACTTCTATGAACAGTCAGATAAAACACAAATATAATACAAGAAGAAAAGTGCTCTACTGGAAATACAAGCAGCATGTTATAAAAACCACTCAAATCTGTCTGGTCAATCAGAAAAAGACCTTCAAATGTATAGGTGCTCATTAAATACTAGAGGCCCGGTGCACAAAAATTTGTGTACTGGCGGGGGGA